GTTTCACACGGACCGTTATTCAGGAAGCACACCATAGCGCATGATACATTTGACTTCATAAATGGCAGAGAATGTCTAAAGTTTGGGATCATTATATGTTTATAAAGGGAGAGAACAAGATGCAATGTGTCTGCAAAGTATACCTGGCAGGGCTGCCAACTCTCACGCATTCAGCGCGAGACTTGCGCAATTCGATTTCTCACGCTGAAGTGTCAATCCCTTCGGTCAAATGCCTGAAAGATGAGTTCGTCTATAGATCTACCTGTTGAGCCACTCGTGATCGACTAGTTTTACCGCCGCATATTAATTCGCAAGTTAAAATATCCTGTAATCTAGTCAAGTCAAGTCAAGTCACATTTATTTATATAGCGCTTTTCACAATACAGATTGTATCAAAGCAGCTTCACACTGATAACATGAAAGTAGCACAACACAGATCAACAACATTGCTAAACACTAAATAACCCCAACTGAGCAAGCTCAAAGCAAGCCAAAAGCAAGGCGACAGTGGCAAGGAACCAAACTCCATCAGATTGGATGGAGAAAAAACCTTGGGAGAACCCAGGCTCAGTCGGGGGCCAGTTCTCCTCTGGCTTACATTCATATTGTTTAAATATAAATATTAAATATAAATATTGTTTATGAATCAAACGGCGCCATAACATATCGCAGGCATTGAGTCGTCTCTTCACAGGCGTTGAGTCGTCTCATCACAGGCGTTGGGGCATCCGAAATCCCCGTGAGAGGCTGGACACAAAACTGGACCTGACGAACGCCATTTTTCTCGGGACAAGCGTCCCGAGATAACAGCAGAAAGGCAGATGGGAAATAATTAGCATAGCTGATGTTCATAATGATTTCCGTTATAACTCACAAACTCTCCGTAACCTGAACTCTCCGCAACCCAACCATACGCGCCGACCCGTTTGTCTAAAAGGCTGTCGAGCCCCACTGGTGCGTTAAGCAGTTTCAGTGGCAAACGGTTCCGTATGGCATAACAGAGGACTAGAAGGTAAGCATTATGTGAATGCTTGACTAAAGAGAAGCGTCTTTAATCTAGTTTTAAACTGTGTCAGCGAGTCAGAGGCTCGGACCGTATCGGGAAGGCCATTCCAGAGTTTTGGAGCTAAATGCGAGAACGCCCTCCCTCCTTTACTGGACTTCGATATCCTAGGAATGACCAGAAGCCTTGAATTTAGTGATCTTAAGGAACGCGGTGGATTGTAGGGCGAAAGAAGGTCCGTTAAGTACATAGGTGCTAAACCATTTAGGGCTTTATAGGTCAGTAGTAGTATTTTGTAGTTGATGCGGAACTTAATAGGTAACCAGTGTAGAGATGATAAAATCAGTGTTATATGATCATATTTTCTTGACCTAGTAAGAACTCTAGCAGCTGCATTTTGTACTAACTGTAGCTTGTTTATTGAGGATGCAGGACAACCAGCTAATAAAGCATTACAGTAATCTAGTCTCGAGGTCATGAATGCGTGAACTAATTTTTCTGCATCAGAAATAGATAGCATGTTACGCAACTTAGCAATGTTTCTAAGGTGGAAAAAGGCTGTTCTTGTAACATATGAAAAATGATTTTCGAACGACAAGTTGAGGTCTAGTATAACACCCAGGTCTTTTGCTGTAGTGGATAAAGTAACAGGACATCCGTCTATATTAAAGTTGTATTGTGAGAGGTTTTGTGAGTAGTTCTTTGGACCAATAAGTAATACCTCCGTTTTATCTGAATTTAATAGCAGGAAATTACGCGTCATCCAGCATTTTATATCTTTGAGACACTCTGTCATTTTAGATGAGTTAGTGTTTTCATCTGGTCGTGATGAAATATATAATTGAGTGTCGTCAGCGTAACAGTGGAAATTAATTCCATGTTTTCTTATAATATTACCAAGTGGCAGCATATATATTGAGAATAGCAGAGGGCCTAAAACCGATCCTTGTGGTACTCTATAGTCTACTGACGTTATCTTTGATTTTTTTCCCATTTAAACAGACAAAATGAGAACGGTCCGATAAGTACGATCTAAACCAGCTTAATGCCTGTCCCTGGACACCGGTGAAGTTTTGTAGTCGATCCAAGAGTATTATATGATCTATAGTGTCGAACGCAGCGCTAAGATCAAGTAGGACTAGTATTGAGATACAGCCTTGGTCAGAAGCTAAAAGTAAATCATTTGTAATTTTAACTAGCGCAGTTTCTGTACTATGATGCGGTCTGAATCCTGACTGGAATTTTTCATAGATATCATTTTCTTGCAAAAAAGAGCACAATTGAGCGGACACTACTTTTTCAAGTATTTTGGACATAAATGGAAGATTTGAAATGGGTCTGTAATTTGCCAAGTTATTTGGATCTAATTGCGGTTTCTTAATGAGCGGTTTTATTACAGCCAGCTTGTATATTTTTGGGACATGACCTAAAGATAAAGACGAGTTAATAATATTGAGGAGAGGCTCTTCCACTGCAGGTAATAGTTCTTTCAGTAGTTTAGTGGGTATTGGATCTAATAAACATGTTGTTGGTTTAGATGCAATGATAAGTTTATTTAGCTCCTCCTGTCCTATCGTTGTAAAGCGGTGTAGTTGTTCTAGAGGGGCCATAATTGAAGCTGAATCATAAGACACCATAGCGGATTGTACATTTATAATTTTGTTTCGGATGCTTTCTATTTTCGCATTGAAGTAATTCATAAAATCATTACTACTAAACTGTAACGGTATATTTTGCTCTGGTGATGTCTGTTTATTTGTTAGTCTAGCCACGGTGTTAAATAAAAACCTTGGATTATTTTGGTTATTTTCGATTAGTTTGCGGAGATGCTCAGCCCTGGCTGTTTTTAGGGCCTTTTTATAACGTGACATACTGTCTTTCCACGCGATTCTAAAGACCTCTAAATTAGTTTGTTTCCATTTACGCTCTAAGTTGCGAGTTTCTCTCTTGATGGCATGCGTAGCACTGTTGTACCATGGTGCTTTCATTTTCTCCCGAACCTTTTTTAATCTAATTGGCGCAACAATATCTAATGTACTTGTAAGAATGGTGCTTAAACTGCTAGTCATTTCCTCTAATTCATCTGTTTGTTTGGGTTCACTTTGCAGCTTAGATAGATCAGGTAAGCTATTTGAAAATACATCTATAGTGGTTGGAAGGATTGTTCTGCCTGGTCTATAACGTGGTGCAACATGACATACCTGTATTTCATCAGTACGTATTATGCAAGTCACCATGTAATGATCAGTGACATCATCGCTTTGCGGTATAATATCTATATCAGTTGGATCGGTTCCATATGATATAATTAAATCTAGTGTATGATTTAGACGATGAGTGGGACCACTGACGTTTTGTTTGACCCCAAAGGAGTTTAATAAGTCTGTAAACGCAGCCCCTAAAGCATCATTTGTATTATCTATGTGTATGTTAAAATCTCCAGCAATTATTGCTTTATCGACATTTACCAATAGATCCGAGAGAAAGTCTGCAAACTCTTTTAGGAATTCAGCATATGGCCCTGGAGGTCTATATACAGTAGCCAGGGCTAGAGATAATATGGATTTCCTTCTTACATCTAAGAGCGTAACATTTAGCACAAGTACTTCAAATGAATTAAACCTGTGACCTGTTTTCTGAGTAATATTAAAAATATCTTAATAGATTGTTGCAACACCGCCGCCACGACCGATCAGACGAGGCTCATGTTTATAACAGTATCCTGGCGGAGTAGATTCGTTTAGACCGAAATACTCATTTGGTTTAAGCCAGGTTTCAGTAAGGCACAGAACATCGAAGTTATTGTCTGTGACCATTTCATTTACAATAACCGCCTTAGGTGTGAGCGATCTAATGTTTAGGAGACCTAGCTTTAGAAATTGTTTTTGTTCACTGATATTTAGATTTTCTGGTTTAATTACAATAAGATTTTTGCTAGATCCTACACTAGATTTATTGTTTGGCTTCACTAAACGAGAAATAGACACAGTTTCTATATAATATTCCACACTATGCATATTAGTTAAGTTTGGACCGCAAAGGCTGTAATTTGGACTTTGACTCATTAGTCATCTGGTGCGTAGTGTCTTGGAAATGTTGTCCGACAGCACAGCCGCTCCGATTCGGCTGGGATGGAGTCCATCTGTGCTGTACAGCCTCGATCTTTCCCAAAACAGATGCCAGTTATTTACAAAGTGCAGCCTCTGTTCATTACACAATGACATTAACCATTCATTTAATGCAAAAAGTCTACTGAACCTTTCCTGTCCTTGTCTGTACGTGGGAAGCGGTCCAGACACGATGATCGCTGCTTTAGGCGCTGTGCTGCGTACCGTCTCGATCAGGCTCCTGTAGTCCTTCTTCAGAACCTCCGTCTGCCGCAGCCTAATGTCGTTCGCTCCCGCGTGCAGCACAACAGCTCCGACGCGCTCGTCCCCGTTCAGGATCTCGGGAACCTGTGCAGCGACATCAAGAACATGAGCACCAGGAAAGCAGTGAGTGCGCACCTTACCTTTATCCGAATTAGCGCGGACATTGTGGACCATGGATCGCGTTCCGGCTCGCGAAGAGGGGAGAAGCGGTTCCGGGTGGAGATCTCGAAGACCGGGAGGGGCGGAGAGGCAGCTCTGGTCCTGGCTCGTGTCTTCCGCTGTGTGATCCATGGTCCATGTTGTTTCGGTGCCGGAGTGAATGAAGCCTGAGATGATCGCATCTTCCTCGGCAGAGTAACATACGGAGTAGACTAACTCGGAGTCAAAGAGTTAACGTCACTAACCACTGATTTGTTAGCGTCGGCGCGTGATGCTTCAAGCGTTGAGCGCCGATCCAACAGCTCGGCTTGCTTCACCAGCAGACCGCGGATCTGTTTGTCGACGTATTCCAGCTCCTGCTTCACCGTGAAGAGCTCGAATGTGTCTTCACCTGCACTCAAAGGTAATGTTAGACACGCATCTGATATGTTCGCCATTATAACAGATGATCAGTAAATTAGTAGTGATACTACAACTATCACTACTAATTTAGGATTGAAATGTCGGAAATAACCAGGATTCAGTGAAACGGGTGTAAAATGTGACAATCAATAGGCGAGAGGGCACGCGTGGAATGCTAGCGGGCTAAAGGCTAGTCTATAAGTCTATAATTAGTCTATAAGTCTGTCAGTAATAAATGCATCTAGTGCGAATCGCATCTAGTGCGAGCGCGCATGCAAGATGTTGAACTCCTAACCGCGGGTCGCGTACAACGGCAGAGAGGTAAGCAAGCGCGTGCACCCATGTCTCTCTCACACGACAGTCAGACCAATTGTGGCAATTCATCATATGCTTAAACTTTTAGCCACGCAACAAAAAATTCAGCATACATTTACCGGGACGTGATGGAGGAACAAATATTGTGAGACACACAGACACACTCTGATGTTTGCTTCTTTTAGATGGGCATGTGATGCCGTAGATAGAGGAACTATGCATTAAAGGTGCGGTCACCGATTGTCAAAGAAGGCAAGGGCAGACTCAACTGGTGGTTTAAAAACCCACTGTCTGCTCCAACACCAGATAGCGCTCCAAGGCAACTTGAGCACCTCTGGCAACGATGGAGCAACCCAGATAGCACTCCAGGCCACCGGAAGCGCCTGTGCAGTTCCTCTGGCATCGCGGGACAAGACATAAAAGATTTTTACATTGTAGAAAGGTTGGCAGAATGTGGTTAATTAAGCATGTCCCCTAAGTTGATTGAATAACTAGGAGGGTGGGATCTATTACTCCACTCTAGTCAAATGGGGTGGAGATGGGGGCAAATGGGGGTTTGGTCATACCTATCCTCCAGGATGCACCTGGGTGATGCAGGTCAGCTTGGTAAAAGTGAATGGTCTTCATTGATCATATAACATGAGGGAAAGAGGATCAGCTCATGCAGATGCATTCTGGGCTTAAGAAAATGTGGGACTAATATTAGTCCCAAAGGGGGGATGTGTTGGGGAAATCTGCTTGTTCTAGTCATTCAAAGCAGAACTCGGCAACTGAAAGACTTCTTTGCTGATTTTGACTTTTTTTGTCGCATCTTTTACCCGCGAGCTCCCCCTACAGCTGTGGTCCGTATATTTCCCAACACTGTCGTAAAAAGTTCACTAGCGGCACCCTTCTCCCCCGTTCTACCTCACGTGCATTTGTTATAAACGGAGCCGGCCAACTGCGGAGCGTTGTGGAGCTACAGTATGTCTACCGAGGTGGGTAATACATCAAACACATTATCATAGAACATTGACATGTACATTTTTTTTTCTGTTATCAACTATAAAACGTAACACGGTTTGTGTGGATAAAGCTAGCGAACGTCAAAGCTTATTATTATCATAACTATAGCCTGATTTACCTTCATTGGAACTGAGATTTCAAATTTTAGTTTATAACGTTAATCGTGCAGAGAATCCTCAAGTTGCATTCTTTTGTAAAAGTACAATACATAATTTATAGTTTACAATAACTGTGTATTGAACAATTGTAGGCCTATCATAAAGGATTTAATCGACCTAAGTATAAATAATTTACGCACAATTTTCCTTGACTACAACATCAGATGTTAGCTTAATAATTTTGAGTTTTACGGTTGACTACACTATTTTTCCGTTTATGATAATATTACAGGAGTCAACTTCGAACTCGGCCTCGTCCGAATTCACCCCTCAGGCTATAGGAACCAGAAGTGCTAAAGCTAAAACTCCAAGGCAAAGGGCACCGAGGAGGGGGGGCACAAGACCCAAGGACCTAGAACCTGATGTCCAGAGGAGGCTGAGGGAACTGCAAGAGAAACGTACACATGAGTCCAAGGTTTGTTTGTGATCAGGCAACAATAAAATTATGTGTTAATTTTTTGAAGAAAATATATGCATCTAACTAATAATAATAATGTGTTGTAGGAGAAAATTAATTTGCTGAACCCTGGCCAGAAGCATGCTCTCCTAGAGAAAGTACTCACAAGACTACCTGGGTTGATGTTTGACATCTTATCTCTAATGGAGGTACCACAACCACCGTACGCTGACCCAGAAGGACTTCACTGGTGCGTGTGTGGCCATTGTCGTGATATGACAACAGACATTGAGAAGGTCTGCTGTCGCCAAACCCACGAACATTGCATCAGTAACATGGCATACATGGCTTACTATGTATTAGACGAGGGGGTGTTGCGACTGGCCCGTGGAGCTTGGAATGACATTTTTGCAATAAATGATCACCAGGAGCCAGGGGAGGAGCAGCGACAGTATCGACATTCAGCCTACCGCCAGTTTGTGCTGTGGCAGCATGGCCGCCTTGGAATAGGGAACAGGGTGGTCATCCCAAGCTGTTGCGTGTGGAAAATTAGAGACTGCTTTCCTGACCCAAGGGGTCAGTACACGGGATTTAGGGTGACACGTCATGTCTGAATGTTTCATAAATTTTCCTTATTTATTATAAATACTTATTTAAAACTTATAATAATATTTGGACATTTGAATAGAGACAGTTTTTTCATTGAATGTATTTATTTGAAATAAAATATATATTATTTAAACAAGTATCCATCATTTTTTTTACAATTTGTAGGAAACAACAATTTACAGTTTCTAAGAGGGAATAGTGTCAATCCTCCTGTGGTTTTGTGGGCGCAGTGTCCCCTCGTGACACATGTTTTTGAACAAGCTCTGACGTGGGTGGTGGTGGCTCTGCAGAGGAAAGCAAACCAAGTCTCCTGGGATCATCTGCCCTTATGGTGGTTTTGCGTGGAAGGCCGGTCCTACTCTTTAGCCTCCTACCAAGAATGGCCTTCTGGAGGTCAGGGATGTACTTGTAATCCTTTTTCTCCTTGACTGTATACACAGACCAGTTTTTTGATTTTTTATTGTACGCTCTTTTGTACCTGGAGAGCAAGGGCAGTGTGTAATTTGATCAGTCACAAAAGTTATGTAACATAGAAAGGTGAAAAAATTTAACTTTAAAAAAAAAAAAAAAAACTTTATTCAAAATGCAAATACTTGCATTTTGTGTCCATCCTTGTTACGTGCTGGCATGCGTTGATTGTGCAGATTATAATCTATTGCAGCCAGCAGTGTCCGGGTCTTGTAGATGAATGGGGTGTATGACATGCGTTTAGATGCGTAGAGCAGAATGTGATTTTGAAAACTCTCCAAATCCGACGTCGTCCTGAAAAGTGTGTTGGGGGAAGAATAATTGAATTTAGATTATCTCAGCTCTCACCACGTGTCTATCTAATGCAACCCCTTTCTTACGTCAAAACAGAAATAAGGACCTCATCCCAGTATGGCAAATATCAAATCTGATAAGTAAACAAATCACTATTGATTGAGTGCAAAATTAAAAATATTCTAAGTGATAAGGTGAGAGCAGATGATTACCTGAAGTTTATGAACTTCTTCGCCTGGTTAAGCCATCTCTTATCGAACACAATTGCAGCCAGGGCCCGGTGAGCTGCTGAACCTGTAAACGCATCATATGAGTAAACTGAGTGCAGTCATGTAGGATTTTTATTTTTTCAGTTCTTTTTCTTATTTGGTCACCTTGCTCCATCCAAGGCTTGTCTTGGCTGCCTTCCTCCAGCGGCTCATGTTGACAGCAACCGGTTGCCCATAAATGTTCATTGCACACATGATGCATTACAACAACCCACATCAACTGCAAGAATCTATATAAAAACCAATCTGCCACATTTTATTTTTTAAACAAATAAAACACTTTACTTTTAAACATACCTTAAATTCCTCCTCTGTGGAGGCCTGTTTGCTGCAGTACCAAAAATGGTTGACAATGTCCCGTGTCCAGATGTGAATATGATTTTGCCCTTTCACTGCTCCAGCCTGAACATCCATGCACATCAATAGCAGTGTCAGTATACAGCTATAAACTAACTCTTCTATAGCCACTATGTTATGGGTAAAAAGTTGTATCATATGCCATTGTTGAGTACCCTTTGAAGTATGATAGTGTGGATGGAAACATACCTTTCGAAGCCTTTTGCTAAGACTTTTAGCAGCATGCCAAATGTCAAGTGAATGCTGTAATCCCCATTCCTTGTATCGTCCACGTTCAGGATCTGCAAAAAAAAAAAAAATTTGTCAAAAATCCAATATGAAAGTAAAGACTTATAATACAGTACAAAAGTTCTGCTTACTCAGTAATGCCATGATCTGAGGGTGGGCATCAGTAACCACTTCTTTTATTTTGACATTTGGGAGCAGAGCATCCATGGTGCGAACGAAACACTCCTTCTCCATGATCACGGAGTTGCGGCTGGTCTCCCTTTTGTCAACAGAAACGATGTGGATGATATCTCTAGACTCCTGCTCTATTGTTGTATATGTGCAATACTGAGCACAGTGTCCTGAAGCATAACACACCTGTCAGTAAATGAACATTAATCACACAAAATAAATGTATGTACTCATAACTTACCAGGAGAGTCCATTCGGCCGTCTCCTACATCCAACAGACAATTGATTAAAAGGCATTAGAATCACAAGTCTCACATTGACTACGTCTTTGATAAACATTGATTTCTACGTAATTGATGTCGGCAAAGAAACAAAAGTATCCCTCACCTAGAACAACAATATGGTCCTTTTGACGCATACGCTCCATGACTTTGGCATTGATGTTGTCCCAGAAGTCTTGGACAGGCTCTATGCAGTATGCATCTTGGATACGGTAGTATGTCGATTCTGTAACCATCCCCATGGCCATGAATTTGAAAAGAAGAGCTACTTTTCTGTAGTTGTTGCCAGACAGTAGTATATTTGCAGAGAGCATGAAGTCCCCACCCTGCATGCCAAACTTTAAAGTTGGCTGCGAGTTCCACTTCCACTGGCTGTGTCCGAAGGGGCAGAACTAATGTACATGTGAAAAAATACATCAACAATCAACAAGAGACCGTTGTTTCTATGGGTCTGAATAAAATGTGAATAACGGGATCTGAATTACAGTCACATCTCATTCGCCAGAACCAACTTACCCATTCCAAAACTGCTCCAGTCCCACGAGGTTTCAGGGTGACCTGAAACGGTGGAACACCAGGACATGGACAACCAGACAGTCTGTCCATGTGTTTGCAGTTCTTGATTGGTAGTTTCAGGTGCCGAGCGAGTTGAAGGAGATTATCGTTGTATGTAATGTTTGCACATTTACCAACTAGGTCTTCCTCTGTAGTTATTCTATGTTGTTCTGGAACAGAATCTGATTCCGATTCATCAACTGGACAATCAGATACAAAAAAATCTAACACAGCTTCGTCCACACTGATTTCCGGAAGCTTGTCTGTTTTGGCACCAATAGTGCTGTGTAAAGAGTCAAAATATGTATGCATTGATCACCACATCAAATTATTAATAACCATTACATAATCAATTAATCAGTGGTATGAACAGCCCACCACCTACTTCAAACAAATAAACAAATTATTTTACCGCAAATGAAGAGATGGGACAAAATCCTCATCGGAGCTGTACCCATCTTCAAAGCACACATTTTTTGGGTTATCCCAAAAAGGATCCATGACAATACTAAGAATTAGACATGTATATTGACCTTATTAATGATGTATACATTTATTAATCTAAATGATACACATAATATCCATTACTTACTAGGTATTCCTGAAATCATTCTCCTCCTCTTCATCTGGTGAATCTTGGTTATCCTGTTTGCTAATATCCAGGGAATGCATGCTGCAAGCGTAACAATAAACAAATGAACAAATAAATAAACAGTAAACAGAAAAGAAACACATTAACCCAAATCAAATATGAGTTGTCATATTTGTGTAATATCACAATATGTGTTGCAAGGCAAACTCACCTGGATTCTAAAACCTCAATTTCTCCCTCTCTAACCAACGTTTCAACACCAATTGCATTGGGATTCATTTCTCTGATTGAAAAAAACGAACAAAACAATCAATCACTTTCTGCAATACCAACCAACACTGTCTGAAATATTACTGCTTTTGGGAGAAAAAAAAATTACAGGTCATGATCCGACTCCGTGCCGATACTCGACACCACTGGTTGTGGTGGTCTGCACTGGCCCTTGCGTGGCGTGGACGTTGTCGCTTGCCAGCGCTTGTAGCTACAACAAAATCAAGAGGACAGGTGTCACCTTTACACATTGTATAAATTTTCTAAACAATATAAAACTAAAAGAACATTTATGACTATTGCTAATCCATTACGAAATCAAACAGTCTAGATATAGTAAACGCATATTTTTGACCGATGCTAAAACACGAATGCAGAGACACAAATGTGATCAGTGTTATTAGCCTTGGTTATTATGTACCACTACATGGCCCGACGGATAAATCATATATGACAATAGTTGTTTGTCAAGTTTGCCACATAGATATGAGCAACCCAATACAAAAGATAGCAATGTACCGTGCTCAAAACAAACACGTTGTCTCGCTAACGTAAGGCAATCAGCTTACACAGACAGTCATGGTTTGAACACATTTATAAACACAAACAAGAATAAGTAATAAATAAAACAAACACTTACTTACAATTGCATTAGCAGAAACGCAAGGTCCGCATCTGTTCTGCATTCTTCATTATCTTTTAGTTCTCGCCACTCGGTGAATGCACGACCAATGTTGACTCTTGTACGGTCCCTAGCACGGTCAAAAAGTTTTTTCCTCTCTTTCACCTCCTCCGCCGATAACCGTCTCTTCAGTCTTTTCGCTGGAACATTATCCATCGTCGCTTGTACTCAGGTTACTTCTAGCTAGTATTGAGGTGGGCGTGTGTGTGTTGAATTGCCGTAAAGCTGCTCGTGTTTCGCGCTCGTTCTCGTTCTCGTTTTGCTTCTCACGAGACTTCCGATTTTTATTTTGCCGGGACGGTAGTCCTCATGTTGCAAGGTTGTTTTTTCGCCTGGGAACGCTGGGGGGAGCTGGTAAAGTCACCAATATCACCAGAACAGGTTGTTTAACCATCCAAATGATTTCTAGACGGCTTTATTATGTTAAATAAGTTACCAAGTTCCCCTTTCAAAGAAGAATACATAAAGGTCATGTCTGTGAAAGTAAATCATTCGAAGAGGGATACCTAAGGGCCAAGGGCCATGTTGTGTAAGTGGTCAAAGCATCTGAAGGGCAGAGGTCAGCAGATGAAAGGCCAATACAAGATGAAAGACCAATACAGGATGAAAGGTAAATGCAATTATGTTATTCAAACTAAGCATGTAAGAATGTACCTAAGCGCTCATGGTTAAACAAATAAAATGTATGCATTAGCTTTTTATTAGTTTTCTAGGGTTTACTAGCTTTTTAAAAAAAAAAACAGTTTAACATATGTTTCATATGTATCATATGCAAATGATAATGGTAGCGAAATGAAGAGGTGGAGCAGAAGAAAAGAGATAAGCGTAAAGGCACCAATTGGTCAGCTCCGATAAGAAAAGAGTATATTATGAAGAGTTCAGACTGACTTAGCTTCAGATGCTCTGGCCACCTTCTCACTTTGTTCAACTGCTCAATAAAGTTATCCTTCTGAGACTGGAAACCTCGACTCTGCGCATTTTCTACAAGAACAAGACCTGACTCTGCTGAATTGAATTGAGACTTCTGATTTGCCACAACACCCTCTGTGCAGACTGGCGCATCAAATTATCCTTTGGTCCCAGGGGAAGATACGGTCAATAAGAGCAATGTATATTCCGGGGGTTCAGAATCAGGGAGCAGACATCCTGTCGAGGCAGGGGCTGAGGCCCAGGGAATGGAGACTTCATCCGGAGGTGGTGAAGTCGATATGGGAGAGGTTTGGACCAATAGAAGTGGATCTGTTTGTGTCTCGAGAGACGTCCCACTGTCCACTTTGGTTCTCCCTCTCACATCCAGCCCCACTGGGGTTGGACGCCATGGTACAGGCTTGGCCGAGGCTTCGCCTGTACGCATTTCTCCCAATCGCTCTGCTCCCGGGAGTCCTGGAGAGGGTCCGTTAGGAGGGCATCAGTCTACTTCTGGTTGCCCCAAGATAGCCAACGCAAGTATGGTTTTCGGACATAATATCACTCCTCATAGCTCCGCCATGGCAGATTCCTCTGAGGAGGGATCTGTTGTCTCAGGCGGAGGGCACAATCTGCCACCCGCGCCCAGAGTTGTGGAAACTGTGGGTCTGGCCTCTGAGGGGGTTCAGTACCTGAATACTGGCTTGTCAGCTGGAGTGGTCGAAACCATACTTAGCTCTAGGGCTCCGTCTACCAGGAGATTATATGGCCTCAAGTGGAATGTGTTTGTCACTTGGTGTAGAGAACAGGGGTTAGATCCAGTAAACTGCCCGGTGGCTTCAGTTCTGGAATTTCTCCAAGATCGCTTCTCTGCGGGTCTCTACCCATCCACTCTTAAGGTGTCATTGCGGCTTTCCACACGCAAGTAGATGGTGGACCTCTGGGGAGGCACCGGTTGGTCATTCGGTTTCTCCGCGGTACTTGGAGGATGAGGCCGGCGACCAGGTCCAGGGTTCCTGCCTGGGACCTGGCAATAGTTCTGGAAGGGTTATCCCTGGCCCCCTTCGAACCTTTGGAGTCGGCTTCGCCTAAGGACTTAACACTAAAAATGGTCTTTCTTTTAGCGATTACTTCACTAAAGAGGGTGAGAGATCTCCAGGCCCTGGCGGTAACGCCGGCTTGCTTGGAGTTTGCCCCTGGCAGAGTAAAGGCCTTTTTGCACCCGAGTCCAGGCTACGTGCCTAAAGTTCCTTCAAATACGGCTCGTTCTATAGTCCTTCAGGCTTTCCATCCTCCTCCTCATGTGTCGGCAGAAGAAGAGAGGCTTCACTTGCTCTGCCCCGTCAGAGCTTTGAATGTATACCTTGAAAGGTCCGCTTCTTGGAGAAGGTCGGACCAGTTTTTAGTATGTTTTGGGTCAACTAAGTGGGGGCTCCCGGCAACCAAACAGACTATAAGTAACTGGATTGTCCAGGCTATTACTGAGGCTTACAAGGTGCGCGCGTTGCCTTCACCTTTGGCCTTGAGGGCTCACTCAACTAGAGCCATGGCTTCCTCTAGGGTCCTTCTTTCGGGAGTCCCTCTGCAGGAGATCTGTGAGGCAGCCGGTTGGGCTACCCCACATACTTTCATTAGGTTTTATAGTCTCCACCTTCCCAGTACGCCCGGTGCACACGTACTCAGCCCTTGCTGAAGTGCCTATACAGTTTCACTCCGGGGCGGGTCTGTTCGGTGCTTGGCCTAGTGGGCACTCGTTCCCCAAAGAGTCGATTTTATCGACGCAGTGTTGAGTTCCCTCGATATGGAACGTTTCGGGTTATGACTATAACCCTTGTTCCCTGAGAAGGGAACGAGACACTGCGTCGTGTTGCCACGCCCCTTAAGACCCTTGAGCGTCTTGCTTCATCGCGAGGCTAGTGTGTGTTGTGACAGCGTCACTTTTATACTTCCGGGTATGCCGTCACATGTTACGTCACGACGCAACACCATTCAGGATTGAATTAGTTTCATTCATACTTCAGAGGCGCACGCTTAATGAGCGTCCCCAAAGAGTCGATTTTATCGACGCAGTGTCTCGTTCCCTTCTCAGGGAACAAGGGTTATAGTCATAACCCGAGACGTTTTCTTTAAATTCAAGAAGGCAGTATCACTTGTTTCAGTTTATTTTTAAATGCCATTACTTCAATTATCCTATGTATCTAAAACAATATCTAAACTTAAGACACACTGATCAACTATTTTTTCACGTTCCTAAAATTAATAAAGAAGTGGGTTGTCTGGCATTCAAATATAAAGCTCCGTCAGACTGGAACAGTTTACCAATGGAAATTAAATCCACTACTTTCTTTTTTAAGTTATTACTAAATGATTATTTTCAGAACACATGTTCCTGTTTTTGAGTATAACTATTTTCAACTATCACGTGGACTTCATTATTTTCATAACGTATGTTATGTGTGATAACTGCATACTTATTGTATTATTGTACTTATAAGGCTTGTATGTGATGAGATAGTTATGGAGAGCTAAATGTTTGTAATTGTTTGTAAATGTTTGTAAATGTTGGTAAGAATACGATTGTGTATTATTATGTGACATAATGCTAAATGCTGTTTTGATTTATGTTTGTACTCAGGACCCCCTTGAAAACGAGATGTTACATCTCAAGGGGCTATCCTTCGAATAAATTTCAAATGCGACTATAAGGCAATTTATAAACCCTGAGAAATTATTTTACTATATTATTTTTACTATATAATAGTTAGGTCACACTTAAGATTAGGGTTCAATTCTCACTATTAATTATTAACAATGACTTTTGCATCAATAAAGATATATAGAGAAGGGGGGGTGCACCATCGGTCTCACCATCGGGTCTGTTTGGCGATTCTGTTAACACCGTAGTCAACAGGTTCAAGGATGTTAAGAAACACAAAGAAGCGTATGTTCAGTTCCTTCCTCGCCGTACTCAAGGGGAGGGGCCGTCGGCCACCCAGCCCCGCCCCGGTCCTTCAAAACCCAGGGAATTTAAAAAGCAGAGTGTGGCGAGTCGTGCTCCCCTCGTAGAGACTGGGGACAGCCTTCCAGACCAGACCTCAGGACTATTATTAAGAAGAAGAAGTCCTGATGGTCTGGCGCTCAATCTGGTGGGGGTAGCCCCCAGCAGGATGGGGCGCGTTCAAGATCTTTTCATCCCTTCTCGCTACCCTCACAAAACCTCTCCATCCCCGCCACCTCTGGTGTTTCGGGGGGCAGCGGTTTCCAGCGAAATGTTAGATGTTCCGTTGTTTCCTGCCGTCATTCAGGACACAGAACATCTAACATCCCCTCAATAGGAAGTATTAAAATTGATACCACTCTCAGAAAGTCAGGCAGCGTGGAAACTTCTGCCTGGCATTTCTGCATGGGTGTTAAGCTCAGTACAGATAGGATACAGAATCCAATTTATTTGTCGTCCTCCACGTTTCAACGGCGTGGTTTTCACTTCCGTAAAACCAGAGCTGATGCATTTACTTTCACAAGAGCTGCAATCCCTTCTGAGCAAAGAGGCCATAGAACATGTTCCTCTTCCAGAGAGAGAGAGTCAGGCTATTACAGCAGATACTTACTGGTTCCCAAAAAGGATGGAGGGGTGCATCCAATCTTAGATCATCGAAGCTTAAACCGTACAGTCAAAGCACTCAAGTTCAAGATGTTAACCGTCAAGACGGTCATGACGCAAATTTAACATCATGATTGGTTTGTCACGATCGATCTGAAGGACACTTATTTTCACATCGAAATATTGCCACAACACAGGATATTCCTGAGGTTCACTTTCAGGGGCGAAGCGTACCAGTTTCGATTTCTTCCATTCGGCCTAGCCTTGTCACCCCGCACATACACAAAATGCATGGATGCAGCACTGGCTCCATTAAGAACTCCAGGGCATTCACATTTTGAATTACACGATGACGATTGACGCGAATGAATAACACGAATGACGATTGGTTAATACTAGCACAATCGCGAGAGATGGCTCTCCAACAACCTGGCAGTTGAAGAGACATCATGTTAGCTCATCGAATTGCTCTAGGGTTGAGACTCAACACCAAGAAAAGTGTTCTTTCTCCGGCCCAGAGAACGACTTATCTCGGGATTGTTTGGGATTCGATCATGATGCGGGCACAAATGTCTCCCGCTCGAATCAAAACCATTCAGCAGACCATGAGCAAAGTCAGGCTAGGCCAAATACTCACTGTTCGTCAGTACCAGAAAATGTTGGGTTTCATGGCGTCAGCATCCACGGTGATTCCTCTGGGGCTGTTGCACATGAGACCATTTCAGTTGTGGCTAAAAGTCAGAGGATTTCGTCCAAGAGCCAATCCTCTAAAGGCTAATAAAAGTGGCGTGCCGCGGGCTTCGTACACTATCTCTGTGGCGATCGTACACTATCCATGTCGCAGACTGCTAATGACGGACGCCTCCCTGATGGGCTGGGGAGCTGTCTTAGATGGC